GTATTTACGTAGTAGTAGTATTAGTTGTTGTTGTGTGTGTGTAGTATATATATATATATATATATATATATATATATATATATATATCGCCAAAACAACAACAACAACTGCAACCTCTATAAGCATGTCGTTCACCAACAATCAAGAATTTTCCTCCATTTTTTTTGTATTTATTGTACAAGTTCCTTGGTATAACATTCTGTCATAAAAAAATCAACTTTTATGCCACGATATACGATAGTTAAAAAGTAGTTTGCTTCATGTACTATTATTGTTTCCCTGTTGCATGAAAAGTGTGGCACCAATATATTCAAAGCTTTATACAGTTCTTCCTAACAACATGTAGTGACCCTCAACGGTACAATGGTAAGTCTGCAGATTTACAATGCTGAAAATCAGGTATCAATACCTGTGGTGGGCAGAGAACAAATAGCCCATTATATAGCTTTGCATTTAACAGCACCCAAACTATAAACCAACATCTAGTGACCAGTGAATGCCCGTTAAATGGGTCTGATAATATAATTGTAGTAGCTTAACATTTAAGGTACATTACTGTGATACATGTTAACTACAGAGTTGGGTAGCAAGACAATATAGATAGTACAGCAAAAGCAAAAACTCATTTTTATAAGATAATAATAATAAATAAATTATATGAATAACAAAATTACAAAGTACATAGTAAAAATGTAATCAAAATAAGCAAGTTAAATGTAATAATAAGAAAAGTAATATTCTAAAAATATGAGCTGTGTCTAAACACAACTAATCACACATGAACTATTTGCTAAACACTCACTATTATGTTATTACATATAATTAGCTTCTCATTATAATTTTTTAGGTTTGTCTGTTTCTACACCTTGTGCTACTGTTAATAAAGTTTGTGCCTCAGGAATGAAAGCCATAGCATTTGCAGCACAAAATCTTATGCTGGGACATCAGGTAAGCATTTGAAATAAGGTTTTTTTCTAACATAATCTAGATAGTCAGAAAATCATGAAATTATGTAAAAAAGAAGAAGGAAAAATTTGTGATTTATGTTGTGTTTAATACATAAAATCTAACCTAAATTCTCAGAAGGAATGTTACCTTTTTATGTTTCCTCTTGTTAAATGGTGTTACTTTGAAATGGCCTTCATATAAGGTATAATGGTTTAGGAAACAAAGCCAATATTTAAAAAAGTATATCCAAAATAGAAAAAAAAGTGTGTTTCTGTTGAAATTGTTTGGTTAAACTAAACAGAAAAAATTAAACAAATTAACCTATAAAATGGATAAGATAAACAAGGAAACCACTACAGGTTTTAAAACGAAGGTTCTCATTGGCTTATTAAAAAATTCAGAGATGTTGTGGAAAAAAAATATGAAGAAATATTAGTAACTGGAGAAGATGACTGAATAACAAGTTAACATTTGATGCAAATACCAATATAAGTATTTTTTTCTAGTAGATTCTAATTTCCTAAGCAAATCTGGCATATTATTTATTATTAAAAAAGACTGTTTTTAAAAATTTTGTAGAAATCAAACTTGGCATCTTAAAAAAAAACAGATTATAAGTACAAATTTGTATGCTTGTATTTGGTTTGTTGGTGTAAGTTACGTCATTTCATACATACACAGTGTTTCCCAAACTGTTTTTGTTCATGGACCACCCACATTGTTTTGTTTTTTTTTGGGTGGTGGTGATAGTCCACATTATGACAGGATAAATTAATAAAACAAAATAAGTGCATAAAATCACTATATTATTATTATTAACCCCAGACCTACCTTTCTAAATTTTAATGCAATGGGTGTACCTGTTTTTATGGACAAAGTTCTATAATGTTGATTGTAATGTTTGCCAGCTGAAGCCTCGGATCAGGTTCAGCATTCATTCCAACTTTATTTGGACTTCAGTGTTGCAAGTGATCAAAATCTAATCTTGCAAATAGCATAAGAAAATGCACTGCTTTATCTGCAAGTTCTGAGAACTCTCCAATCTCTGAATCCAAAACTCTTATAATGGATTTCATATATACTCTGACCTTATTGTTCTGCCAACAAGTGCTTCTCTTGGTAGAGAAACTGGCAGGCAAGTCATTATTTAATTAACAATGTATGACAACTCTCAAATAAATAATACATTTTGCTCTTTAACTTAAAAGCCATATAAAACTGAGTTTTAGACTTTTCATTATAATTTATACATATTTTACATGCTTGTGTAGTTGAATGTTTCGAGTGTCTGGTTTGCTCCATGATCTACAAACTCTTCCTTTGGTAATTTTGAAACCTTTCTATGGACCACAGTTTGGGAACCTCCACACTAAAAGAACAAACTAAGTATTTAATGGTACTAAAAAGTATAGCAAAGGCTTACTCCTAGTAAGACAACTGGGTAATATACTACATATTGTAGGAATTTGTAATATACCATTTTAGTTAAAATATTTATACTCGTATAGTGATGCTTTGAAATGACTGATCACTTTAGTATGTTTAATGACAGTGTCCTGAAATGAATAAATCCCTATACATAGTTCCTCCATTTGTATTTCATCAGGATTATAGTAAGGCTGTGCTCAACATGAACTTGTGTACATGTCTTTTACATTTAAACATAATTCCTTTCTCCTTAATTTTTAAATCCCAATAACGCAAGCTGAAAAAAAAAAAGGTGAATCACTTTTATGAGTTGAAAGGACATCAACTCTTACAGACAAATGGTAATAATTGTTATATCTAACAGGAAGTCATGGTTGCTGGAGGAATGGAGAGTATGTCCAATGTCCCATATTATCTTCCTCGAGCAGACCCACCTTTCTATAGACAAATGGTAATAATATATTATATCTAACAGGAAGTCATGGTTGCTGGAGGAATAGAGAGTATGTCCAATGTCCCATATTATCTTCCTCGAGCAGACCCACCTTTCGGAAACATTACTTTAATAGTAAGTATTTTTTTCACAAACTGTTACAAATGTGCATAATTACCATCGTATATATATGTACATCTAACTTTGTGAGAATATAATTGTTTATTTTTTCTAGTTGGAGAAAACTACATGTCGGTACATAATATCATGAAATTTAATTTGTTGTAATGGTAATGAAACACTTTTTAAACAAAGCTAGGTGAGTAATGTGATTCAATAATCAATTAATTGTTAAGCTCCTTAATTGATTACATTCAGCTAAATTATTATTCTTGCATAAGGCCTTGATAGTTGAAATGCTTGAAAATATAATTGGAAAGGGTAATTTTGATTAATTGATTATTTTAAATGACATTAATCATTGTAATTAATGTTCATTGATTGAATTTAATCACCCAGCTCTATTTGCAACATGTAACATTATTGCATTTTGATATCTGTCTGTTTGTCCCACATGTAATTACTCCTAGCTTGCTTGGCCAACCACACCCAAACTTTGTGGGGTGATAGTCTGGAACAAGGGGCATGTTCATGGAGGTTCACAGCCCCCTCCACCCACATTATTGCTGTTATTGAGCATTTATTATCTTTGACTTAAGTTAACATTAGCTACATTCATATATAGCACCACATTCTTACACAAAAAAAACTATTAAATTTTCCATCTCCCAGTGGAACAGCAGTAAGTCTTCGTATATACAACACTAAAATCAGTGGTTTGGTTCCCCTCAATGGACATAGCAGATAGCCCAATATGGCTTTGCTCTAAGAAAATACACACACACACACACACACACACACACATTAAGTTTTCTATAACACAACATACACACAGTGTGGGGGAGGACACACAAATGTCTTGGATATTTCAAAGAATGTGCTAGCACCCTCTTTGGAGGAATGTGATGAAAAAAAAATGGCTGTCGCTACTGCAATAATAAATAAACTCGGATGAAGTTGATACTACAACAGCCACCATAACGTTGATATGAAGAGCTGTTTCTTGAGTTGTACCCACTTCCTAGTTTGACCCCAGACCATACAACTTCATTCTGTAAGACACTTCTACAGCTAATGCTTTAATTAATTAATAATGTGAGGCAGTGTGGAAGAACATCAAGATGTAGTTGTTGAAAGCAGATAACAGAAATCAACCCTACTGCCACTATTGTGTCAGTTAGCTCTTTGTACAGAATCATTCTGAACATCACACAGTATATACCATGTTTTAAGTATATACATTGTGAATTCTTAAAGCTTATACAAAACTCTTGGTGAGTTAATAATGAATACTGAAATAATATGTTATGTTATAAATATATTGTGAGAAAGTCAGGAATTTTGTGTTATTTGTCATAGCATCCATTCCCACATTTTTTTAAGTTCATAACCAAGACAAAGGACATGTACTTCAGTCAGCTTGTCATTTTATGGAGAAGTTTGTAAATTTTTTGACAATGGTATGTATACATGTTTGAAATTTAAAATACATTTTGATTTTACTTTTGTGAATGGTTTTATTTGTACAAAGTTTATATTTTTTAAAACAGTCTATTTCTGTGCAAACAGATCTTTAACCCTCTCTCCATGGGCATCTTTTTCTGTTCATGTCACAAGGTTTTAGTGAGTTTATATTCAAACTTTAATTAAACTGCTTTCTTTCATTAGCATACCAATAAATATAACATACAAACATAGCTAATAATCCAGATTTTAATAGTATCTAAGTTTTAAGCTCTTAATTTTATCAGGCAATATTAAAAAAAATCCTAAATTCCAATAGTATGAAAATTGTGACATTTTCTCTTTAGGCATACACTCTTTGATTTATTTACCACCCCTCCAAGAAGTATGAAATTTATTGTAAATTACTCGTTATAATGTTGTCATGACTCAGGCAAAGCATAATTTTTATAGCCTTCAATCTTATTTGGCTACAGAGCCATCAAATAGAAAATATACCCCTCTTGCCACTCCCAACTGTCATATCTTCTCTTTCAGAAATTGCCAATAGTTCTCTCTGATGTCTAATATAATATTATTTATAACCAATAGAAAGCCAAGGTTTTACTCTATCAAATGTTTTTTTATGTACAGAGAATTGTCAATTTCCCTTTCAGTTCAAGCTTTATTCCTATGAGAAACACATCAGTAAGTTTAGATGAATTTTTAACAGTTCTTGTTACATAGTTAAAAAGTTAGAAAAATTGTGAATAATTATGGGACATTGTCTGCTTTTTGCATGTAATTATTTTGTGTCCTTTGGTGCATTATTTAATTAAGTAAAAAATCATCTAGTGCAGTACTACCATTATTACAAAAATAAGTAGTGTTAAGTGTCATCAACAGTCAACAGCAAAAAAAAAAGACCAATGTAAGTACTTTATTTCATGTTTTTCATGTGTAATATTTATTTATTATTATAAAAGTAACTAAAAGGTAAAAATAGGTATGCTCATGAGTACCTCATGCATAATGTAATTCAACAGCATAGCATAAGCCACATGTCTGCTAAGTGCTTTACATCTTATAATGGTGTGAATAGTAATTAGTTATGGTTCAGAGAGCAATAAAATTTAATTATAAACAGATATATACTATTATGAGTTTAAAACAATTTAGGATAAACAAATGTAGTTTCATGTTACATTTTAAAGTGATGCTATAAAGAAAAAAGGGGTAATTTAGATTTATTTAGATTTTTTTTCATGGTCACCAGGTCAGTTTGGAGTAGGTTCGGAGTTAGGATAAAGAAAATAACTGATAAAATATAAAGTTTTACTGAAAAAATTGTTTGAAATTTATTTAGGAAGTTTTAGGTATTATGCAAATAAAATTTGAGACTTCTGAGATGAAGAAAAGTATTTTTAATCTTATCGTGAAAATCACTTTGCGAAAGGACTAGTAAAAAAGAAAGTATAGGTTCATGGACAAGTCTTTATCAATAATACTTCATTAAAAATTCAGAGTTTTTTGCATACAAAAGACTTGTAATGTTTACTAAAAGTCTGCCAAATGTTGTGAAGATACACGTTTTGTATTAACAAGTACAAAAAGGTTATGAAGTCAATCGAATCGAGAGAGTTAATCATTAAATGTGTACTTTGGCAAAATGTTTTGGTTCGAGTTTTTCTGTAAAAAAGAAACTATTTGTGAATATTAATGTTTATATTTAGTAAATTGTATCAAAGCTTCATTTAACCCTGGCATACAGCCGGGTCAAAGTATGTATATCATATATACATATCTATTTATTTATTTATTCAAAATTTAATCAATCAACTTTATTATCAAAATTATGTTTGTAATTAAAATTTTTATATTATCTTTTAATTTCAGAAGGAAATATTTAAAAACTTCTCAATCTTCACTTCTCTTTGTCACATGATGCACCTGTACTTTGAATTTTCCACTTTAGATCTCACATCTCCAATAATTCAGCTTTTAGAGTGTTTGACCAATTATTAACACAATTTATATGTAATTACAAGCAAGAAATGCAAAATATGAACTTCCTCCTCTCTGAATTTTCTGAAATATCAATAAGTTTGTCAAACCCCTCAGAGAAGCCCCTCCCATTTGTCCTGTCTTTCAAAACAGGTAGGCATGTGTAGATGGTTTGCCTTCGATTCTTTGTCTATGATGATTGTTGTTGAACTTCAATCAGCTAATGGAATTTTCTTAACCTATTTATAGCTTACTTGGAAAGCTAAATAAATAACACATAATACATATTTGAAAGCTACAGGAATAATCTTTTGAACAATCAATTTAGTGAGAAAAATATTATGGTTAAATGTAGATCGGTGTCTAACAGCAAAAGGCCTGGAACCTTGAGTATGTGCAACATTTCTTGTTTTTAATGTATAATGTTTATTTATTGTTATTTATATTTTAATGAAACTATCTAAAATGTAAAAATTAGAAATTTCTTAGGTAGCAAGACTAAAATAATTCAAAATTTCATGAGCTTAGGAACACGAGTGAATGTAACTTGATTGGTTTGTTTAATCTTTTTGTGGGGGGATAGACATGAGCTTCCTCTGTGGTTTACATCTTTAATGGAGTAATAAACAGCATCAATGGAACAAAGTCTGGCAATAAAACAGATATAAAATGGTTAATAGTAAATTTAAACTCTTTAGTTAACTACAGATTCAAAGAAGAAGAAAATAAAAAGGTATTCATTTTATTTCATGTTTTTCAACTTTTCATTTCACTGTACATTGATAATTGGAGTAAGTTCTAGCATAGATAAAAAGAGATAAAATATAGTTTTACAGAAAACAAAATGTTTGTTTATTTAGGAGGTTCTGTAAATGAAATATAAAATTGAAAAGTGAAAGTTTTTCTTCTTAACATGAAAATCATCTTTCACTTGAACTTACTCAGTAAAGGCTTCATAAATTCACATAAATTTAGTAAAAAATACTTTATTGAAAAAATATGATTCTTTGTTTACAGTAGACTTGTAATGTTTACTAAAAGCTTTTCAGATTTATGGAAGATGCATTTAGTACATTCAGAGTTACAGTATGTATACTTTCACAATTGCATGGTCAGTCAAATTGACCAAGCCCATTGAAAGATGGTGAAATAGAACTGGTGAAATTGGCATACAACTAAACACCTATTTTACAATACATTTTTATCAGAAAACATTTCATGCAAAATATTTCAAAGAACATTTTGGAAGGCCAGGTTGATTTAATATGGTTAGACATTTCCTTTTATTTTGGTAGCTTGTATGTTTTTTGTGTTACCAAGACCTCAGATGGAAACTGAAGCTTTACCACTGTATAATTCCATTTGCTTATCAGGCCAAAAAACTTACCCTGTGCTGTAGGGTGTAATATATCACTTTAATGAATATATGCTGTATATATTTACAGACATGCAACTATTGAAATTATCAGTGTATTTCTTTTTTCATAGGATGGATGCATGTATGATGGTCTGACTGATGTATACAACAGGGTATTAATGGTATGCTAATTTTTTTGTCATTTGTGTTTATTATCAATATTAAAGTATGCACTTAACTAGGCAGTTATTTTAAAATGGATTTATTGTTGGAATGAACTTTCTACAAAGTTTTCAAATATATATTTACAAAGTAACTGTTGCTGATTTTTAATGTTATTTTTTGAGTGAATGGTAAAAAAATGTTGCACTTTGATATTTGTTTAATACCGTAAATGTGTGTGTCAGTTGTTTCAATCATGATCTAGAATTTCATGGTAAAAGTATTAAAAAACAGACATGTAGTATGAGTTTTTTCTAGTTCATCAATTAAGATAATTTGTGAAGCATAAGTACACAAGTTGCCAAGAGAGTTTTGTGACTATCAGTTGTAATAATTGTATTTCATTTTGTTAGTTTCACTTTGATTATTTTTTCATAACCTTCCTTTTAACATTAGGGAGTGTGTGGTGAGAAAACTGCCAAGAATTACAACATCAGCCGACAAGAACAAGATGAATACGCCATAAGTAGTTATAAAAAATCTCTGGCTGCATTTGAGGTGTGTAGTACAATTAAAATTATGAACTGAAATACATTAATGGTTTATTTAGACTATCTTTTATGCTTCTGTTTTAATAAGGGAAAACATGTAGATTGAAACCCACAAAATAGTAACTACTAGAATAGAAAGTAAGAAATAAGTCTATTCTTAAATGGAAGTATCAGTCTTCTTTAAATGGAAGTATCAGTATTAGTTGTTTATTCTGAATTTCTTTTATGCTTCTGTTTTATTAAAGATCATGTTGTAAATTGAACACCACAACATAAAAAATTACTGGAATACATAATAAAACTATTCTTAAATTTCATATTTGAATGGAGGTATCATTTGTGAGACTTTCTAAGGTGAAAAAAACTAAATTACTTTTAAATCATATGAATTGTTTTACTGAATAGTTTTTAATGTTGTTAAGTTTGTAATTAAAACCTCTATTTATACAGTGGATTTTATACGCATGATTTACTAGGAAATTAAATGTTGCCAAATTTGATTGAAAATATAATCTTATAATATTTGAGGTGCAACTACTTACTTAGTCATATATATGAGTGTGTGTGTGTGTATGTATTTATTTATATATAAATGTACTTGATGTCATTATTATTGTAAGAGAATAATGACAGTGGTTTCATAAAAACTTTTTAATTGAATTCGTAGGGCCCAAATTTTGTTAAATTTACTTAAAATTAGTTTTTTGTTTAGGCTGGAGTGTTTGATAGAGAAATTGTCCGTGTTGTCATCCCAGGAAAAAAAGGAAAACCTGATACTGAAGTGAAACAGGATGAGGAATTTACCCGTGTCAATTTTGAAAAGTTTGGAAAATTGCCTCCTGCATTTCAAAAAGATGGTAGCTTTCAAATGAGAACTTTTAAGACATTATTATAGTTGTTTCTTTTTGGTATTCAGATTCCTGATAACAAAAAATTGGTGATAATATTTTGCAAACTTGTGTGTAATAATTTCTAATATTGTTATGTTGAACTTGCAATGCTCTTAAAAAGTAGCTGCCATATAGATAAAATCTAAAAGAAACCACATTCTGAATGATTATTGCTTATTATTTACTTCTGGAAGAAAGTAGAGCATTACAACCCATTGTACACTTTTTTCCTCACCTACTGCTAGTTAATTAGTAATATAATGTGAGAAAGAGGTTAACATGATTATATTGATACATAACTTAATCTAAGATCCAAAACCCTCCTGTTTATATTTCTATGAAAAAAAAAATTGTCACAAAATGTTTTAAGTTTTCTTGTACAATTTTGGGAAATTCTCTATCTTTGTGCAAGCTTGTGAATTGCAATGGTCTTAACTATTATAGGTTTAATTATTGCCACATATTTTCAAGAATTCCCTAACCTTGTCATTAGTTTTCTCATATAATAGTTGATATTGCTAGAATGACCTTCATGCTAAAGAAAAATGTATATACATGTTGCGCATATTAAATTGTATGATACGTGTCCCCCATTTACAGAGTTATAGGTTAGTTTTTCTTAAAGCATTTTTTCGAGAAGTGAGAACTGGGGCTGAGGTGAGATTTTGAACTTTGACATTATATAATAAACTTAACAAAACTAATTGGATAACATTTAGGCAAAACTATGAATTATTAATGAGATTAAATGTTTTCTTTCCCTCTCTTTTCTGTTAGACTCTAAGAGGATTTTGTTTTAACTTCAACTAACTGTGAAAATGATGAGCTTAACATGTCTCCCAGAATTTTGTTGCTCGTTTCAAATAGCATGTAAGCAAATTGTTGTACCTTCAAGACTTGCCTGTGTTTAACCAAACACTTTGCTTAAATTTATTTTAAGGTTTATAATTTTTCTTTTTTTCTCTAGTTGAGTTAGGCCTTAACTTGCCAGATTTCACTTTCAGTTTTAATTTATTCAACATTAAAATTAAAGTTATTTAAGAAACAAAATTATAAATTTGCTCTTGAATTTCTTCTGTATCAACTATAAAAACTACATGAGGAAGTAAGCAATATTTCCTCTTTTGATCAGTTGTGTTAGCTAACTGACCATAATCCATTCTTTTCATTCATTGTTTGAGTCTTCTTGTATTGATGTTTTGTGTTTTGTTTTTTCCTGCACATAACAGTATTGTATTTAAAGCTACAAGAGTCATTTCAAGCCAATATACATAGATTAAATTTAGAATGACATTGGAATTATTGAAGTTTTCAGCATGAAATGTACATCCTTTTGCTATTAAATGTAAACAGATTTAGTTTTTATCTAAGTTTTAACCAAAATTGAAGCTCTCTATATTCTTGTCATTTTGTATATTCAATTTTAATTTTTGTAGTAATAAAAAAATCACTCAGTAAGATAAAAAGTATTATATTATGCTTCCCATCGTGCCTGCTTCCTCACAAAATACTTTAATATGATAACAAATAAATCTCTTGCTTTATATGTAATGTTATAAGCTATAGTTTTAATATTAAAATTTAGATGTTAACTAGAGAGCACATGGCATTAAAATCAAGAATGTCCTAGAATTTCTAACATGTTTGGGAATATAACTGATCAAGACTTTGCGAAGTGTCTAGAAACTTAAACTACAGATATAAATAGAAGTAGACAATTTGTTCTGAGAGGGTGAATATTGAATAAGTACTGAGTATTTAGTTTTCAGTTGGTAGTGTCAGTCATTGAGTGAACCATCGAGTAGTGTGAATTTAGTTTGAGTGAAGTATTTAGGCCAGTGGTATTGACTGTGTATGTTCAGTTATTCAATCAAATAACTATGAATTGTACAAATAAGTTTATTTTTACATTAGTTCTAATACCATTAGCAAGTTATTTCTGTTTGAATGTTATTTGTGAACTTAGGTCTACAACTATGTACAAGTAAAAGCAGCCTATAGGAAATTTAAAGTAAGAAATAAACTAATTTGTCATCATTACATGGACTGGACTTAAAATTATTTTCACTTAATTAATTTCTTTTAAGTTAGTATGTCATTCGTAGAATGACATTTTTAGAAGAAAACAAAATTTAGTTTTTGCATAGATTAACTTTGTTGGATATTTAGTATATTACAATTAATTATAGTATGTTTTGTATTCAAGTGAATTTATTTAGCAAGTCTAATATTTGTATGTGTTTTAGAAATAAGAAAAATTTGTTTAAGATAATAGTAATTACTTTCCATTTCTTGTGCCTTTGAATAAATAATGTTTTCTAATAGGAACCATAACTGCAGCTAATGCAAGTACCTTAAGTGATGGAGGAGCTGCCTGTGTTTTAATGACTGAACCAGCTATGGAAAAGTTTAAGGTTAAACCTCTTGCAAAAATAATTGGTAAGCACATGATCATTTTTTTTATGTATTGATTTCTTATTTTTTTCCAGATATATCTCTAATATTGTTATAAGTTTAAAGAATATAGATGAAGAATAAAATTAGGAATGATGTTTTTTGGTTCATTATTAGAAATTTTTAATACAGTGTTTTGTTATCGTTATTAATAAAAAAACATTACATTTTCTGAACACTGCTTTTAGTGTTTGTGCACAGCCATGTACACACTGTTGTATCAGGTTTTGTATAGTAGTAAAAAGTAAAAAAAAAATATTTAAAAAGCTGAAATGAAAATGGAAAATATAATGGCAAGGGTATTTGTATAATACAATTTTTGTTACAGTATTTTTTAATTGGCAGAAGTTATTAAAACAAATGCAGTAAATAAAAACAGCTAAGTGTATACATATGTAATGAATACAAATTAACACCAAAGCATATTCAGCTATTGTTTGTAATACACAAAAAAAGTGAAAATGTTCATTTTCCAACACTAATCTTAGAGTGCAGATAGAAATGCATCAATATACATAAGAGAAACAACATAAGATGCTTAATATTATTTTGTTTGTAAAACATAAAAGAGAGGGTGCACAAAAAAGTTAAACATAATTTATTATAAAGGATAAGTAGAATACAGTTTAAGAAATGGTTTCATTTTGGGTAAATATTTTTGTAATAAATTAGTACAGAAGTGGGCAAATGCAAAAATTAACGAATTAAGAAAAGTAGACAAAAGTTAAATAAGCTAATTATGTTAGTCATATTTTAGAGCTGTAATTAAGAAGCCAGTTGTTTGCAAATAAATTCAAATTATGAACGGACTGTATGTAAATTATGAAAAGGAATAAAATGTAAAGTTGGAAGTTTAAAGCACTATAACCATGTGTCCAAAAAAGAAGTCTGAAGTTATTGACAAGGGATTTTCCCCATTAAATTTTAGAATATTGGCAAGTTGTAGTTGCATTTTACTGTACTGGATGTCTTATTTTTTTAGAAAGTTTAAATAATTCATTTGTATGGTTATATTAGTTAATTATCTGCCAGTTTACAGTGTCATTAAAGTAATAGACATGGATAGAGTATTATATGATCTTTCCATAATACAAGAATGAAAACATAGATGATATGGTATATAAGTGTAAAAATAGAAGAATCTGGTATAACATGTAGGTTATGGATTTCAATTGTAGCTATCATATTACAAACTAAAATTACAGCAAACTATATGCTTACAGGAGCAACTTACACTTTTGTGTTTAGACACATTATATTTCATCTCATGTTTGTACATATGTGAAAAAAAGTGAACAAGTGAACTTAATATATGTTTTGTAGAAGACTGATTGGATACTAAACAATCCAAAGTATGGTTTGTAGAAGACTGATTGGATACTAAACAATCCAAAATATGGTTTTTAGAAGACTGAATGGATACTAAACAATCCAAAGTATGGTTTTATTTATCTGAATTCATCTGATGAAACATGTATTTTAGAAGATTTAATAATTAAAGTTTATTACTAAGAGTAAAATAAATTATGAAAAAAAACACATCATTAGTAAATTTAGGGGTAAGAATAGCCACCAGTTGTAAAAAAATGTCACTGATTAATATTTGAGTTAAAGAAAATGCCATTAGATTTTATATTAAAGAACTAATTGACACTGAATGCTTTACAGTAAAAGCTATTCCAGTATCTTCAGTAAGAACATGCTGTATTCTGCTAGTTCTTCCAACATTGTTTGTATCTATCATTTTTTTAATAAAATTAAACTAACAACAGCTACTTCTTTATCTAATTTTGTATTTATTAGGTTGTAGTATATTTGTCAAGAAGTAAATAAAATATTTTCCCTTTTTAAAGGCTTTGCTGATGCTGCTGTTGATCCCATAGACTTTCCAGTTGCTCCAGCTCAGGCTGTACATAAGGTTTGTACAATTTGTTAAAAATATGACTTTGAATATGTTCATAATTACAGCATAAAGTTGGAGGATAAAATTTGTCTGTTTTGCATGAATCAGATAAAGTCTTTAATTTTATTTTTCTAATTTAATCCCAAATGTCCAAATTCATATGAACAGTATTTTGAACCAATCACAATAAATTGTAAAAGTATGTTTGTTATTCTTAGGTAATAAATATTTTTCTGTGTAATCTGTTGTAACCAAATATCAAAAATCTTGCTGCTTTGAAATTTTTCTTAGAAATTAGCTCAATTTCATGCTTATTACTGGTTTCTTGATAAAATTAAAATTATATCCCAATTTAATACTATTCAAAATATAGTTTTGCATAAGAAAACAATTTTAAAACACATTTTGTTTGCTGGCACAATTTTGTAGCTCACTGAAACTATCAATTTTTTTTCCTAAAAAAACGTTTTAAAAATATTTATATGGTGCAAATCATTATTAATTTTGTTAAAGACATAACCATAAACTTGCTGTATATTACTTGGAACATTTCAAACTAACCTTGCTGGAATTAAAACTTAACGTTTAACAAGCCATAATATTGTGGCATATTCAGGTCAAACTTATCCTGAGAGTGATTGGGTAGATCCACTAAATAACAAGAGATTCAACAAAATACTTATTACTGAGTAGTTATAAGTTTCTCTGAATAATTTAATTTCACTTGGTGTAAAACATTATTGAACAATCTTTATTACAAATACAATGTGTGTATTTGATTGTTTGATGATGGAAAGTCACTTTTACTGGATAAGAAAAAAGTTATGTTTGGCTGATTTGGCCAAGGTCATTTATCAGACTGTTTAAACCTAACTTGACTTACTTCCATGGTAACACCAGACTTACTCAGAGCAACTAGCACTATCTACATGACTGGTAACTCTCATTAAATCTTAATGGAGATTGTAGAGGCTTCACCTCATCTACACTTGAGGACATAGATGTCGACACCCTTGCACAATGTATTAGAACCAGGTATTTTTGTCCAGAACCTACTTATGATGTTCCATACACATTTTAGTGACAGTATTTTGTTTTACACAAAAACATACCATGTGTTTTCTACCTTCTTATTTTAATATAGTATTATTTGAAAATTTTCCGTTATTCTGGAATGTGTAGTTTTTGCATAGAGGGTGGTTAAGAAGTTGTTAAGGTGATACCATTCTAAGTTTGTTTCTCTTTTGTAATTCTCGTGAATTATTTAGACTAATATATTTTTTAAAATCATCCCTTTTAGTAAAGCCATCTATGAATGTTATTTATATATATTTCCATACATTTCAATCATCCAACTGAGAATAAAACTGAAATAGAAAATAAGTCAGTTACATACCCTAAAGGATGTCCCAAGCTTACTGCACCTCCATTTGGGTTGACTTTATCAGGGTTGAGGCCTAAAAGCTTGATATTTACTATAACAACAGCACTGAAAGCTTCATTAATCTCCCACATAGCAACATCTTCTGTTTTAATTCCTGCTTGAGCTAAAAGCTGAAATAACAAGTAGATAGAGATCACATTCAGTTATATGCTACACCGAAAATGAAAAAAATAGGTTCTAAACACTAATTAATTAATGTAAAAATATGAAGGACAGAGGAGAGTAGAACCAAGAAAATGTTTTAACTTAATTGATAAGGCCAGCTATAGTATTTTAGTTAATATTGCTTCAAGTTAACCACTTATTGTTGGTTAGAACTCTTATATGCAAAGATCAGAAATATAAGAGCTTTCATAATTAGACATTATATATGCTTACATGTTCCTTTTCACAAATGGTGTATTATATAATGGAATAAAATTTTCAATAGCCATGTTTATTATAGTAGTCCGTTATAAATAATTTACATAAATATTCTTTTGCTTATATGATTATTATTATTATTATACACACAGAATGTCTGGAACAAGAATTGTTAATTGTCTTGCCTTGAACCTGAAACCTGGAGAATATGGTGTGGCAACTGCTTGTAATGGTGGTGGTGGTGCTGGTGCCATGTTGGTGCAGAAACTGTAAGTGGACATAAAGAAAGAAGAGTAATGCTCTTGAACTGTTAATTAAAATAGTATAAAAATGAATAAAATGTTTCAGTTCAACTTACATAAAAAAATAAAATAAAAAAAAAGAGTACCAGAATGTATTACATGTTACAGAACTATGTTTAATATTATTATTTTTCCTTAAATTTAGATTTAAAAAACTTAGGAATTTCTAGGACCTGTAAAATATTTGTTGGTGTACTTTTCAGAGCATTGGAGTTAATTCAGCAGTTAAGAATGAAATAAATTTTAAAACAAAAGATTAAAACTTCATTAAATTTTGTAATACAACCAGTGTTTTAAACATCCTAAAAATATGAATTACCTTCCTAATATAATATTTAGGTTTTATATTGTTTCATGTGACATCAAAAATAAGAGTTAGTTTTATAAATCACTACCATGTGTATACTGTGGTTTAAAAATATTTGAGTACAAATAATGCAAAATGTTGCACTAACAGCTGTTTATTAAGTGAGATTAATAGCTAACTATTTGATAAAATAAAATGTAAAAAATTTATAGATGTACAACAAATGGAGCATTCCTGTATGACAGAAAATAAAGATTTTTCTATTGTATACATATTTATGTATATACTTTGGTTCATTTTATATACCACCTTCTGTAGGATTTTCAGCTAACTTAATATTGACTTGATAAAAATATGAGGTAAAAATACAAGTACAAATTTCGGTTTAAAAATTAAAAATTGATAAAAATGATGAGACATTTTTCAGCTTCAACATAGCATAACATAACGTTATGGGACAACAAGGAACTTATTGGTCCATCTCGGCTGTTCCATCCTCTAAACTAAATCAAGATAATTTTTTTTAAAATCTTAAAGCCAGTCCTTATCG